GCTCTCATGAACTACTAGATATATTTTCTCCTCAGGAATTCTGCAGTAGAGACAGTAGAACAAGAACTTCTCTTTGTTGGGTCTGAGACTGGAAAACTTTTGGCCATGAGAGAACTTGTTAAAAAGGTATGTGGGTTTTGGTAAGGTTTACCAAGTCTTACCTGGTGGGAGGCCCCGCAATACCTCATCATCATACTGCCTTTTACTTAGTGGTCCAGTGGTGGTGAGTCTGTCTCTCCTGCCTCAGAGTTGGCTAGGAGAAGACCCACCTGATGCTATTAAAAGCATATTTTTCCCCTCTGTATATATGTCCCATTCATCCCCACATCCTTCTGCTGGTTTGTTACAGAAGAACTGGGGCATTGTAGAATGAGTTAGACACTGAGTGGGGGTTTCTTTTATTGTACCTTTGATAAGTGCCGAGTAGAAGCCATAGTTTAAAAAGTTAAGTACTGTGGGTCATATATACTAAGCAAAAAGAAATATAAATTCTGCACCCTGAAATTTTGTCTTAATTAAGGGATAAAGTTAAGTATACTTATATAATATAGTTTGTGATAAAATGCCATAAAAGGCAAAAGCATCCAAAGAGTCATAATGAACTATTGGGGTAAGCCCATTTGGTTGGAGAAAGTCTTATACAAGGTATCCTGCTAATCAGAGCCCTAAAAGAGAGTCTATAGGACAAATGGTGGAGGGGGAAAGTGTTCCCAGCTCAGAGAGCAGCCTGAATAAAACTTGAAGAGGTAACAGTGCATACTATATGTTTGGAGACTAATGAAGAAGTTACACGTCTAAGGCAGGGTGTATGGTGGGAATTTAAGGATTAGGTTGGACAGTGAAGTTAGGGTCAGATTGAGAGACCCCTGGACATTTCTGAAGAATGTGGCCACATAATTTTTAAGGAAAATTAGTCAAACAATAGTATGTAAGATGGGGTGTAAAGAAAAAGGCTGAAAGTGAGGAAAATAATTACTAGGCCGTTAAATTAGACTGAGCAGAGATAAGGAGAAAATAAACAAGTGTGGCCGCGGATAAGGTGTTTGTAAGTAATTGTCAATGATATAAGTGGTATGCTTTAGAGGTTAAGAGCATGAACTCTGGAGCCAGACTACCTGGGTTAAGATTATAGCTCCAACATTGTACTTTGATGCAGTTTAACTCCCCTCTGTTCCAGTTTCTTCATCTGTAAAGTGGGATAATAATATCTACCTTATAGAACTATTAATAGTATTTGAGTTAATATAAACATAGTACTTAAAATGGTGCTTGGCATATAATAAATTCTATATATATTCATTTTTATCAACATTCTTAAAGGTATCACTTGCCACAAGGAAATTTTAAGGTTTTCAAAGATAATCATATGGACATAATACAGCAGAGATTCTTGTTTTTGTTTTGTTTTGTTTTCTTTTCTTTTTTTAGCAATGTATGAACTTTGGGAAGTCTGTGGATTGTATGTCAGATTTTGTGAATAAGTGGTTGCCAGTTAGAAAGCCTCATCACTTTCATTAGATGCCAAAAGGAGTGTGTAAACCAAAATAAAAAGGCTAAGAAGAACTAATATGGGCATTTGAAGATACAGAAACTTGGTTTGAAAGAGGCAGGGTTCGATGATATAAATATAAATATAAAAATAATCTGCTTAGAGGTTGATACTGAGATTTTATTTTATATAATAAGATAGAAATTATATTAGAACTTAGAACCAAAGACTAAGATAACAATTAAAGAAACATTACAAGCAGAATCAAAATTCTGAGGCATATAAACCAAGAAATGATTGTTTCAGAATGGACATCCAGTA